TTTCCCACAAACCAATTAATATGCATTTATTGAGATTTTTTTTTTACCAAAGACATGTAGCAGAATACATTTTAGCTTACATTTATGACTGCGTTTATTAGATATATTTTATAACCAAAAGTGAAAAATATCGGGGGGGGGGGGGGGGGTTTAAAAATTTTCGGTCTTTTTTTTGTTTATAGAGTAAAAAATGAAAACCGCAGCAGTGATCAAATACCACCAAAAGAAAGCTCTATTTGTGTGAAGAAAAAAGGACATAAATATCATTTGGGTACAGCATTGCACGACCGTGCAATTACCAGCTGAAATAGCGCAGTGCCGGGCAGAAAAAAATGGCCTTGTCAGGGGGGGGGGGGGGGGGGGTAAATCCTCAGGAGGGCAAGTGGTTAAACACCTCTGCTCTTTAGTCCTGAAGTATTACTGAAAAGTAAACATTTGAGAGTATACAAGCTATTATGTATGCTTATTATGTCTGTTAGGCTAACCCATTAAAGGACAGGTTCACCTTTAGTGATATGTTACAACCATATTTCAGGTGTAACTTGTTACTATGCAGCACCCCCCAATGCACCCACTGTTACATTTTTAAATCTGCACAGATTCCTGTGAGTAAAGAAACTAGAAGTCCCTGTCTGCTACCACAGCAGATGGACTTGTAGTATCACTGAACTGCCAGCATGCTGATCAGGAGCTGTCTGCCCTTACAAAGGTAAGGGCAGAGCGCTCTAGGCAGTGTGTGCAGGAACCTGGCGTTGCACCTGCATTCCATCGATCGCGGGTGCAATGTTCTTCAGGCTTCTGTCAAAAAAGGAGTAAATTCATATTTTTTTCTGCAAAAAGATGTGCATTTATTTTTTTTTAGGAAAGGTGAACTTATACTTTAACTTTACGATTTGAATTAGCCAGAAAACACAGGTAGGGATTTTTCTAAATGACTCCGTTTTGAAGCAAGATGATAAGAAACTGCAGCCCCAATGTGCAGGTTTCTTTTATAGATTTTTATCTCTTGTAACTATGTATTGAAAATAAGTGTTTAGCAGTAATGCTAGTCTGTGGCCAGAACATAGCTATTGTTCCTGTCATGTTATTTAAGCAAACTGCAGTCAAAACATTTTTTTTTGTTTTGGGTAAAGCAGAATCGGTTTTTATTGCCCCATGTGTTCTTGTTGTCTAGAGTGTAGGTGATGGGAATCTCCTCAACAGGTACACAAACACATTTTGGTAGCTTGAGCAAGGGGTACAACTTCTGACAGCGTTTTTCAGTCTGTGCTTTCATTAGAAATGCAAGAGAGAAAAAAGGATACAAGTGTGTGTGTATATACAGTTAGGTCCATATATATTTGGACACAGGCACAATTTTCATACTTTTGGCTCTGTATGTAGTAAATTAAAATGAAACAATCCAAATTAATTTGAAGTGCAGACTTTCAGCTTTAATTCAGACGGTTGAACATAAATATCAAGTACAAATTTTAGGAACTGCAACCATATTTATACACAGTCCCTCCATTTTCAGGGGCTCAAATGTAATTGGGCAAATAAAAATAATCATAAATAAAATGTTCATTTTTAATATTTTGTTAAGAATCCCTTACTGGCAATGACTGCCTGAAGTCTGGAACCCATGGACATTACCAAAGACTGGGCTTCCTCCTTTTTGATGCTTTGCCAGGCTCTAACTGCAGCTGTCTTCAGTTGTTCTTGTGGGTCTTTCTGCCTTTAGTGTTGCCTTCAGCAAGTGAAATGCATGATCAATTGCGTTGAGATCAGGTGTTTGACTTGGCCATTGCAGAATATTCCACTTCTTTCCTTCAAAAGCTCATGTGTTTTGGATCATTTTCTATCTGTACTGTGAAGCACGGTCCAATCAACTTTGCTGCATTTGGCTGAATCTGGGCGGACAGTATATCCCTAAACACTGCAGAATTCATCCTGCTGCTTCTCTCACACCATCACTAAACACGAATGACCCAGTGCTACTAGAAGCCATGCATGCCCATGCCATTACAATGCCTCCGCCATGTTTTACAGATGACGTTGTGTGCTTTGGATCATGAGCTGTTCCAAGCCTTCTCCACAGTTTTTTTTTTTCTTGCTGTCATTCTGGTGCTGATTAATCTTAGTTGCATCTGTCAGGCTTATGATCCCCAAACTGTTCACACAATGTTGGGAGCATGAAATTGTCCCAAAAAGTCTTGGTATGCTAACACGTTAAGAGTTCCCTTCACTGGAACGAGCCCAACTCCTGAAAAAACAATCCCACACCTGAAAAACAACCACACACCATAACCCCCCCCCCCCCCCCCCCCCCCCCCCCCCCCCCTTTCCACCAAACTTTACACTTGGCACAATGCAGTCGGGCAAGTACCATTCTCCTGGCAACCGCCAAACCCGGACATATCCATTGGATTGCCAGACAGAGAAGCGTGATTTGTCACTCCAGAGAACGCGTCTTGACTGCTCTAGAGTCCAGTGGCAGCGTGCTTTACACCACTGCATCCAACACTTTGCATTGCACTTGGTGATGTGCTATTCTGAAGGCCACACAAAATTTTGAGGTCTTTAGCTATTGACTCTGCAGACTGCAACTTCTGCACACTGTGTGCTTCAGCACGCGTTGACTCCACTCTGTCCTTTTACGTGGCCTACCACTTCATGGCTGAGTTGCTGTTGTTCCCAGTTTCTTCCACTTTGTTATAATACCACTAACAGTTTTAGTAGCAAGGAAATTTGACAGATAGTACCACGCTCCTGAGAGCGACCCATTCTTTCACAAATGTTTGTAGAAGCAGTCTGCATGCCTAGGAGCTTGATGTTATACACCTGTGACCATGGAGGTGATTGGAACACCTGAATCCAATGATTTGGAGGAGTGTCCCAATGCTTTTGACAATATAGTGTAGTGTATGTATATATATGTATATATATATATATATATATGTGTGTGTGTGTGTGTATTTATATAATATTTTCACACCCACACTGTCTTAATCTCTGGATGAATGTTTCCCAGGTTGGAATGGCTGAGGATCACATATAAGAGTGAGAAGGGCTCAAGTAACCTCTACTGATTACAAGATGGGGAAAAAAAGGAAATGGATAACATAAAGGAGAGATGGTGGTGTTAGGGTAGAAAAAATTGGGGTAGGGGGATTTAGAGTCTTCTTCTTTTTTTTTTTTTTTTTTTTTTTTTTTTTTTTTTTAAATAAGGTCTGTACCTTCCGGATCCAGTGACCCCAGCCATTTCCCGTGAGAGAAGTCAGAGATAGGACGTAAGAGAAAACCACCTCACTAGGATTGACAATTGCAAGTCACTATTTAGTAATACAGTACAGGCTGTCATTGCTTTGTCATATTACTTTTTTTTTTTTTATATTTTGATGATCTCTATTTATCCATGTGTGATTCTCCTCAAGTATATCTAGGAAAGTGCATATAAAGGCTGGTGTCAATTGACTTCTGTGGTTTTCTATGGGAATTCAAAAGCACCTTGTGAGGTCAGCTGCAGGTCAGATGTACCTGTCGGTGAATTCTAATGATCTTAGAAGAATCTCAAATGCAGGCTGTGTTTACCCTAAAGCAAGCTGCACTTTTCCATTAATATAAGCTCAAAGCCCGTCAACACCTGCCCTAAATGCAACATGGGTTATGACATGACATGTGAAACATAGGTGCATACATACAAAAACTTGCATTTAGGAGCATGGACTAGTTTCTAATGAACATGTTTTGTTAAAAGGTATGCAGCAGTACACAGCAGAACAGGGAATAATCAACACTGCATTCTTTCAAGGGAAATACATTTTTGATGTGACACATTTTTACATGCTTATTTTTGAGATTGTATTTAAAGCGATATTAATGCCAGGGATCACTCAGTGCCGCGTTTAGCTTATTAGAGTCTTCGTTTCATGCTCCCTCCTGCTTAGAAGTAGCCTCATTGCAGCTGTGCCAGCGCCGCACACAGGGAGAGACACAGCTGCGGACTCGGGTGCCACTGTAAGTCACCACTGTGGAGGAAAGGAGTTGCTTTGGTTCTCTCTCTCGCTGTGCCTGCATGTGCGTTGTTGACAGTGGCTAGCATGTAAGCTTGTTGTCCTAAACAGGAGAGCGCACAAAATGGAGACGACTCCATAGGTCCTGTTCGGTACAAAGGGCATCCACATACCTGAAGTTGACCAGCACAGCAGGGGCACAGTTAACAGACCAGGAACAGATGAGAAAAATTGAAAAAATAATTGACAGCAGTGGATTAAAGTTTAATTAAAGTAAAAACTTTTCTTTAGTGTTAAACTAGAGCAGGGAGGGAATAGAACAGCCGTCAGGTTTTTGTTGCCGTCTGTCTCCATTTGGGAGATTCACCCTATTTGTCCTGTTTTAAAAATTATGACCGAAAGTGGAAGAAAATCCCAAATTTTGAGTTATCCGAACAGCAATAGGGATAAAATTTTCCAATAGGAACACTAGGTGACATCTGGTTACACCTAGGGATTCCCTCACTTTAGATTAGAAAGGTATATACTTTCACTTCCTGTTTTGGCTACGGGGCAGGAAGTGAACAGAAATCTCCCCAGTGGTACCCAGATGGCAAAAAAAAAAAAAAAAAACTTGACGGGTTATAAACCCTCCCTTACTCTATCCAAAATGATAAAAGAACAAACTTTGCCTTTAGTTCTACTTTAAGCTTTATAGACAGAGTAGATAAGCCTTGGTTTTTTTTTTTTTTTTTTTCTAGTTGGCCACCTACTAAACTTGCCGATGTAATGAACACATGTGGGGAAAAAAAACAAGATAGTATTGTGACCTGTGTTACTGAAAGTTGTATTATGTTCAGATAGCTTGTTACATTTTATAGTTAGCTTGTTTATAGAAAAAACAAAACAAAACATGGAACTAGTTTGTCACAAAATAACGGCTTGGTAGAATAGAGGCAGATTTGTTTGTGATTTTTGTTGAGTGACCTCAAGCATTTTACAAGGATTGTATCAAAATATTTTCAGGAATCTAAGAAAACAGAAGAAGATAATGAAACTGATCAGATCTCCATTTCATCCGTCACAATTCCTGAAGCACCATCCTCTACTACTGAATCAGCCCAGGAGCCAGTAGACCTGTCGTCTAAGCCTGAACCTGCAAAATCTGGTTCTGATATCCAAGGTAACTTTGAAATAAGAGTTAAAACCTATCTTTTGCAAAGCCTATTGCAGATGCTTACCTAGTTCTCTACCTTTTATATAAAGATACCTTGTACTTTCTCAAAGTTAGGTAAGACTGTTATTAGTCTTGCTAAAGATAATGAGTGTCTTACCAAACATGATATGCTAACACTTCACTTTAAGCACTGTACAGACTTTAGGGCAGACCGTAAACCCATTACATGAAAAAGGGATGAGCGTTTGAGAAGTTCCATCTGCAGTCCATATTCGGAAGTCTGAACTTTTTTCTGTTATGGAAAATCATACTTGACTTCATGATTTTCATCTTTAACTAATTAGCCAGTGTCTTACAAAGAAAAAAATCAGTTCCATTCTCCTTAGTGATATAGGCAATTCTTGAATGTGTAGCTGCTGAACAAGGAATTACCTCTGTCCCCAAGCACTGTGATTGCAAACTTAATAGCAAGCTAACTTGCTATTTGGTTTAAAGAGATCTGCAATAGTTTGCAAATTGTTATGACACTGCTTGTTTGATAAAGGCTAATTTTAGGAAAAAAATTATTAATGCACATACTTTCTGAATTAAAAAAAATAAATAAATACATTTCCCCAGGAGGCCTGCAAAGCCATGCACCTTGCCTGTACCTCTGTACAGGCTTTCTGTTAGAAAGCTGGAGGAAGTGTCGATTACAAGGAAGCTCATTAGAGCCCTTGCAGTTCAATGAGAACGATAAGTCTGTCTGCCGCTGTGGCAGATAGAACTTGTAATTTACTCATTCCCAGATCCCAGTGAATGAATGATGCAGAGGTGCTGGAGCATGTTACATCCCAAATACAGATGTAACGTATTCCAAACATGAACGTGTCCTCAATGAACCATCATTGGTCTGTGCCCAGAATATAAATACTCTCTGGAGCATTTCAGTACCTTTAATATACTGTAGAATTATACATGTAGTACAACCATGCCACTATTGAAGGAAAAAAAAAAAAATCAATGGTGCTTTTGATATCCTATGTGATATTCTAATAACAAGGAGAACAGATACCAGATCTAGCATCAGTGTTTGCTTCACACACATTCCTGGTTAACTTTATCTTAGATTTCTATTAAAACATTAAAGAAAACTGAGATTCAAAAGGCATGTTGGTGTGAAATTGCCCACAAACATTTGAAATAAGCTATACCGGTGTTCAAATCCAAATAGCTTATGCATATATAATCCATCAGGTGCTACAGGGTTGTAACCATATGTTAATTTCTAAATTCTGAATGGACCTTCTGCACCCTGCTATACACCCTCTCTAGCAGACTTTGCACAAAACATGGATTTTTTTGTTCACATACATTGGAATACATGTTTAAGCTGGCCAGCTGTGTCAAAGTAATTTGTCGCTGGCCAGTCCCTACTCTGCTCTGCAATATGCAACTGTTCCAGTGGATATAGTGCCATTAATGGGACAAATACACAAGTTGGGGAATCTGAAGCATATTTAAAGCCAAAGCTCTCAATACAAATAAACATTTATAACATTTCTATCTTTCCCTTATTAAAAAAACTCTTTTCTTTCCCATCCCACTATCTCCCCTTCCCGCCCCTCATCCCCCCTCTTCCCTCTGCAGACTCCAATCCATTCTGATCTAATAAGGCTTCCATTTTATTGTTAACCTCTTAGTTTATATTTTCTTATATTTCTCCTTCAATCTTGCTCTTTCCCACTTTTCCCATCTCCTAGAATACACTCCCATCCTATCTTCATGCATATGGTATGATTTTTCCATTCTACCAATCTGGTTCACTCTGTTAATCCAGTCTTCCTCCTTCGGTACCTCGGCTCTTCTCCAAAACTTGGGTATCAGCCCTTTCGCTGCATTCAAGAAGTACCAAATACCTGAATCTTTATGTTTATTTACAGATGTCTCTACCTTGTGTAGGAGGCACGTCGTTGGGTCTAACCCTATGTCAATTTCGGTTATTTCCTCAATCAGTTTAACTATTATCTTCCAAAAGGCCTGAATTTTCGGACATTCCCACCATATGTGAAACACCGTGCCAATCTCTCCACATCCTCTCCAACACTTATTTGAGTTTTCCCCATTCATCTTATGCTCTACACTCGGTGTAATGTGCCATCGTGTCATACACTTGTATTAACCTCAACCTCTCTCATACTAACATTATCGTGTATCAATCTAAACATCTTTCTCTGTCTATCTTCGTCAAACTCAACTCCCATGTCCCTTTCCCATTTTGTAATAAAAGTTGACTTTGTGTTTGTGTCTAATTCTGTGAGTATTCTATACACTTTTGAAATACCGTGTTTCCCATCACCTCGTGTCCCCAACAACCTTTCAAACATATTCCACTCCTGTTTTATTCTCAGGGGTTTCGGTAGATTTCCAATAAAACATTTCAATTGATGATACTTCCACTCATCTATTCTAATAAAAATATCTCCCTTCTTCTCTATTAAATCTTTAAGTGATCTCAGTTCCCCTTCCACCAAGACATCACTCAGTTGGGTGTCCTCCTTTCTAAACCATCTCCCTGATATCTTATTCTTTCCCGGGGGGAAATACTCAGTATTTGTGAGAGGCATTAATATAGAATTGAATTCCCATTTCATGTTTTTGTGTAAAGTGTCCCATACCCTAAAAACATTTAATGTGTACATACTTGTGCTTTCTTTAATTCCCCTAAACTGTGTTGGGACCCATATCATCTGACTCAATCTAGTGCCACTAAGATCATTTTCAATTGTTACCCAACTTTTCCCCTTATGGTTAAATGTCCAGTCATATATTCTTGCCAAAACCACTGCTTTATAATATCTCTTGACATCTGGTAGACCCATTCCCCCTTTCTCTTTAGTCCTACTCAATGTTTCATATGCTATTCTGGGTTTCTTATTCCTCCATATATATTTTGTTAACATTCTTTTCATTATCTTAAAGAAGGCCTCTGGAATTTTAATTGGTACCATTTGAAATCTATACAGTATTTTAGGCATAATTACCGTTTTGACTAGGTTTATACGTCCTATCCAGGCTGGGTTTCCTCCTTCTAATCTTTTTAAATCTTCCCTGATCTCATTTATCAAAGATATATAGTTTAATCTATACAAGTTCTTAAGTGAGGCAGTAAGCTTTATTCCTAGATATACTTTATCTCTTTTTCTCTCCATATAAAGGGGAATTCTTTTTGTAGTTTTTCTTTTTCATTCTTTGGTATATTAATATTCAGGATCTCTGTTTTCGTTGGATTAATTTTTAAGTTTGAAAGTTCACCGTACTCCTTCAGAATCTTCATTATATTTGGGAGAGTTATTCGAGGATTCCCCACATAGAACAATAAGTCGTCCGCAAAGGCCGCTACTCTATGTTCTGTGGATTCTATCTGTATTCCCTTTACCGATCCACTATTTCTTATTATTGACAACAGAGGTTCGAGTGACAATACATATAACAGAGGGGACAGTGGACAGCCCTGTCTTGTCCCATTAGACATTCCAATGGGTTCTGATCTCTCCCCGTTTACCGTGATGATTGCAGTAGGCTCACTATATAATTTGCTTATCCACTCTCGCATTCTATCGCCTATCCCCAGCACTTTTAAATTATCCATCATGAAGCCCCAGTCCACTCTATCGAATGCCTTCTCTGCGTCAATCGACAAGAGCACCACCGGGGCTTTCCCTTTTCTACTCTTCTGAATAAGCATCAGGGTTCTCAAGCCGTTATCTCTACCTTCTCTCCCTGGTACGAAGCCCACCTGATCTCCATGGATCCATTCAGGCATCAGATCCCTCAACCTGTTTGCTAACACCTTTGCATACAGTTTAGTGTCAGTGTTCAGTAATGAAATAGGTCTATAGCTGGAGCACTGAGATGGATCTTTTCCTTCCTTATGAATAAGTACTACATGGGCCTGTAGGGATTCTCTCCTCATTTCCGTCCCACCTCCCAGAGCATTCATATATTTCTCCAGCTTGGGTAGCAATACCTCACTGAATTTCTTATAGTACCTAACTGTATAACCATCCGGGCCTGGGCTTTTTCCCCCCCCTGTGCTTTTCAATGCTCTTTTAATTTCTTCCTGGGAGATTTCTGCATCTAGGGATTTCAACTGTACTTCACTTAGTTTTGGTAATCCCCGCATTTTTTAGTATGTCATCTTTTTTTTTTATTAATTTCCTCTTGGGCTTCTTTTAGAGGGCCTTGGGTACTGATATATATATAATTTCTTATAATACTCCGTAAACACTTTAATAATCTCTTTATTTGAGTGGACCAACTCCCCCTTTGAACTTTTTATCTTTTCTATGTAGTTCCTATTTTTCTTTTTATTCAAGGCTCTCATTAAATATCTTCCTGGTCTGTCTCCCCATCTATATCTTTCGTTCAAAACCCTGTTGTATACTCTTCTCTTCTCCTCCTCCATCAACCTCTCTAGCTCATCTTTTTTATCCACTAGCTTCTGTCTCGTATCTATTGTTATTTTCTTCTTATGGATCTGCTCCAGTTCCAATATTTCTTTTAAGAGCCTACTGACCCTCTCTCTTCTTTCCTTTTTTTTCCTTGCACCTGCCGCGATCAAGATTCCTCTTATAAATACCTTGTGGCTTTCCCAAACTGTAGCTATCGATACTCCCTCTGTTTCTGTTTCGTTCTCCTTAAAATATACCTTAATCTCTTTCTCGATTTTTTGAACTATATCCTCATCCAGAAGAAGAGCCTCGTTTAACCTCCACCCCAATCCTCCAGTCCACCTTCCTCCCCATCTCATTTTCATCACAACCGGAGCATGATCCGAGAACGTCCTTGTTTCTATGTCGATTTTAACCAGATGATCTATCAGTTGGTGGTCTATTAAGATGTAGTCTAATCTCGAGTATATCTCGTGTGCATTCGAGAAGAAGGAATAGTCTCTGTCTTTCATATGCGTTATTCTCCAGGTGTCCACTAGTTGGTATTCATGCATCGCTTTTTTCAAAGCTCTC